CACACACACACACACACACACACACACACACACACACACACACACACACACACACACACACACTTACCTCCAGTGTCTCTGCTCTCCCGTTAGGTATCATTGACAGTAGTATTGTAGAACAGAGGCAGGTGGTTGCAGTGACAGGAGATGGAACCAATGACGGACCAGCTTTGAAGAAGGCTGATGTTGGCTTTGCTATGGTAATTATGACTATTGTTTCATTTTTTTGCATTCCACTTCCACTAATTCTACAATTCAGTCCTGAGTCTCGAATGAATGTTGGCCGTTAAGCAGTAGAGATTTAATATCATTTGAGTCTGACTTTGCTGTCACTACATGATTGACAAAGCCTTGAGTTTAACTTTTTTCCTGTTCAGATCAACATTTCTGCAACTATTATGAATAAAAGCAGACAAATATGCCGCTTCATGAATAATATGTACCGTATATTTAATACCTGGAGGCACGTTGGCAAATGATACGTTAAATGAGAGATGGGTTGAATCGTTTTGTAGCGTCAAAAGAAGTTTTGCCTTAGCTGCCCTATTGTAAATAATGCATGTTGAAAATTTTCGTTGCGGTGGCGTGCATTTGTCTTTGACCACATCGTTTACTCATGCCAACTGCAAAGACTTAGAGGAGAACAACACAGCATTGAGGCAGTAACTCTCCAGAATGATTAGAATGCTTGAACGCTCCCATGATTCATGCCGTGACTCTGTGCATGCCCTCCTCACCGTCGCAAATTCTGTCAGGGCATCGCCGGGACAGACGTGGCAAAAGAGGCATCTGACATCATCTTGACTGACGATAACTTCAGCAGCATTGTCAAGGCGGTGATGTGGGGGCGAAACGTCTACGACAGCATTTCCAAGTTCCTGCAGTTCCAGCTCACAGTGAACGTAGTGGCCGTCATCGTCGCCTTCACTGGTGCCTGCATCACTCAGGTATGCGGAGTCACATCTGAGTCATACGCTTTTATTTGGTTTGCAAAACGAACTGCTGGCCCGAACCAATCTCACAAGGGGAAATATTTGCAACGGGGTTCAGAAATAGATGACAAAACCTTTTTTTAACTGTTTCATTCACTAATGAATGCTGTGCTACTTTGGATGGTCAGAGGGGTGGAGTTTGAAATGGTTGGTGAATGGCCACTATGCCCCAACATGGCCTCAACTTTAGCAAGGAAGTGGTGGAGTGATGTCTCGGGATAGAAGGAGCGGGAGTGAGACGGGAGACCATTGCATGAATGAATGAATGAATTAGAGCAGATTCTTTTCACTGAACTCAAGAATAATTGCGGTCTGATGGTATGGTGTTAACTTTGTAGATGCGAATCATCCCAGAGCATTTTGATGGCCACTGTCTTTTGATGAGTGTTTCAGTTCATTCAATTGAGAAGAAGAGAAACACACTGGAATATTGTGACGAGCATGTAAAGACAAAGCGAAGCATGCTGTTGTGCTTTTGCACTTAGCCAAGCAGAAGAAAAAGGTTGTTTCCACCGACCTCATGTCATTCAGACAAGATCTCACTACTTTAGTTGCTTTGTGCTGTGTTCCTGTTCATGAGATTCTCAAATGAATGAAATATCAAAAGTATCAATATTTGGATTTTAAGAATCACATTTTGTGCATAGGGATCTGTATCAGTGGTATTGATATTTCCGTATCAATCCGCACATCACGAGTGAGAGATTGAATGAGAAGTTGGGTAGTAGAGAGGTAGAGAGTCAAACTGAGAGAGAGGCGGGCGGTAGCAACAATTTTTGAGGATGACAAGGTAGCAGATGCAAAGAGGCTGAAGAGATCCCATCCATTTCATTGTATAATATGGTCTGGTGGTATGATATGAGACTACAGACCAACCCCAACACTGGCATCAGGGACACACATTTTTACACGGTGGAAAAAAAAAAAAAGCAACAGGATGTTAGTAAAATTCGACAGCTATAATGACAATCCAAATGTTTCGCTGCTGATTTAAAGAGAAGGGAACAAGCCTCCATGTTTTAGGTCTGTCACAAACAAATCTTTTTAGAATCGATTGTCCTATCAAATACGGGTGACCAGAGAGTGGCCAGGGGTGGTCATTGCTGCCCTTGTCCACCACATAGCTCCGCCCCTGGCCATATAACTGACTGAGTGTGTGCATCTGCAACAAATCTCTGTGAGGGGGGTAAAAATGGACAGTGGGCAAATATGTTTTTTAAATGTATTATATTTTTTGAGGCAGAATTATTTTTTTTTGTGAGCCGAACGTGGCCCAATATAGAATTAATGGAAGGTTTTTTTGTACCTGGCTTCATCTGTTGGCAGGACTCTCCGCTGAAGGCGGTGCAGATGCTATGGGTGAACCTCATCATGGACACGTTTGCCTCTTTGGCCCTGGCCACTGAGCCCCCCACAGAGGCCCTGTTGCTACGGAAGCCCTACGGTCGCAACAACCCGCTCATTTCCCTCACAATGATGAAAAACATCCTGGGTCATGGAGTGTACCAACTGGTCATCATCTTCACCCTGCTTTTCATAGGTGCGTGCACACGTACAAAAAGTACAAAGGAAGTGTCTGCAATGTAACCTTTCTTATGAGATGCAGTGCTTGGTGGATTTTTTATTAAACCACGTGCTAATTTTTTTGTGGTTGTGAAAAAGTATATTCATGCATGCCAGTAATGATTACATTGGTCAACAATTTTTCACATTTTTAAATCAGAGATACAAGTAAACTTTTCGAGAAGAATGTTTGCCAAATCTGCTCTTGTTTTTTCTGTAGCACATTAGGTTTTCATAATAATGATAACATTTAATGACAGTAATGTGTAATATAGAAATATATTTAGCAGTATTTCTGAATTAAAGATTAGGTTCGGCAACAAGTAGATTTTTTTTTCTGTGGCCGCTCGAAATGACAACTCATCGTTCTAAATGACAACTCGTGGTTGCACAAGCTTTTCTTCGTCAAACTTCAAAACAAAAAAAATGAAAATATCTCAAAAACCTGATGAGCTGTCAAAAAAAATATGTATATTTTTAAAATCAGCATCCAAAATACGTTGAGGATCACATGAAACCTCCCCGGATCCAAATTTGCTCTTGACAAGTGTTATATTTTAAGCATAAGAATAGAACTGGGGTTAAAAAACTTTGACATATTAGTGTATCAACCATTTCCGAAATGTCAATTGCTTTGAATTTTGCGCCGCTGGATCATAAACTTGACATTTTATTTGTTGTCGAATAAATTTGAGAAGCACTGTACATTATTTTCACGTTTGGTTCCGTTGATATGTTTCCTCTTTGTGTATTTGTCCAGGCCTGACGCATATTCATCGTAATGTACTCAGCAGGCTCGTCTTCTCTTCTCTTATCTTCCCTCACCCACTTTCAGGCGAGCGCATGTTCAACATCGACAGCGGTCGCAATGCTCCCCTCCACTCACCACCATCCGAGCACTACACCATCATCTTCAACACGTTTGTCCTCATGCAGCTGTTCAATGAGATCAACGCACGGAAGATCCATGGGGAGAGAAACGTCTTTGATGGCATATTTTCCAACCCCATCTTCTGCTCCATTGTTTTGGGGACCTTCGCAGTACAGGTAAGATGGGTTTTAAAGAACCCTTTTTTTTTTTTTTTAAATTGTCAGCCAAATCTTTCATTTCAAATGATTATTCCATTAGGGTTTTTTGGAAGTTGATCGACGCAGTCACTGGTTTAGAAGAATGTCTGAGATTCAAACCCAGAATCTCATAACGATGAGGCAAACAGTTTCATGCTCATTTATTCATGAGATGACATCCAAAAAAAAAAAAAAATGAAGCAGCTCTACAGCCCCGGGGCCATTTTTTTGTTAGGTGGCATTTATAAACCGTTGGTGAATGCTGCTTCACATAGAAGAAAAAGCACAGGGAAAATTAGCAGGTCAACAGTCAGACAAGCCTGAAAGCATCCATTTTAAGCACCCACTTAGGTTATCGTTCCATTTCTGGTAAAGAGCTAACTTGGGTTTGTAACAGGCATGTAAGCAGTTCACATCAACCTTAATGTTGGCTTAGTGCACGGGGTGAAAAAAAAAAAAAACAAATGTTGCAAAGTGCACCATAATGACAAGTTTGCTTATCAATAAATCATACTGAGAAGCACAGGCAGTCGGCATGCATTATTGAAAAAGGTTTGAGGACCACTGTCTTATGTGTTTCAGCCAAATTAAAGAGAGGGGGGGAAAGTGCCACACAGGAATATTGTGAGTACACAGAAAAGAGCAAACGAGCAGACAAATACAACAGCAAAGCGCTTCAGTGCTTACTGACTCTTTGGGGGAAATGAGAACACAGAGAGAGAGAGAGAGAGAGAGAGAGAGAGAGAGAGAGAGAGAGAGAGAGAGAGAGAGAGAGAGAGAAGAGAGAGAGAGAGAGAGAGATCGCCTGATACAGATTTTGGGTGTGACAGAGGAGCAATATTTTGAGAGAAATATCAGCATCGTAGACAGAAGGAGGCTTGAGAGAAGTTGAGTGACATAGCAGAGACGAATGCAGATTTTTGTCGAAAGTTATGATCTAATTGAGGGTACACTTTGCTGTCAACAAGACGTCACCGTAACAGGCCTTTGGAAATCCGCTTATTGCTGTATCATCGCTCAGAATCGAATGGAGATCCAATTCATGCAGCTAAACGTCATATCAGAACAGATTTGCTGTTTGCGTTACCATCGCAACTTTCAATCGGTTTTAATCATTTCTTAAGTGCTCAGCAATGTCGCCAACAGTCATCTGCCACATGTTTTGTTTTATGATTTCATGTTTCGGACTTCATTTGAAACATTTAGGTCAAATTAAATGTTGTTCTCCGCCTGGCTGAGGAGACAAGAGTCTGTCTTGTCACATCAAGCCATTATCACCCGAGCAGTGAAATCCTGTTTTTCACAGTGCATTGCATTTTACAATCATGACACTTTTCATTCTCATCAGCACTTTCCTATATTATGACACACTTTTGTGTTGAGCACGTTGGACCTTGTCTCCTAGATGGAGACATTTTGATATTCATTTTCATGTCTCACAAACTGATGTAAATACAAAATCCAGTTTTGAAATAAATATTTTATTTAATGCAAGGAGTAATATCCAAAACGATCTTGGATAAGTAAATCACTCCAATAGTACTACGAATAGTTAATTTATTTTTGTCTACGACGCGTGTGTTGCATCAACACTGTTGATGCAGCAGTACAGGGTGCTGTAGTCATACAGTCAAGTCCTTATTGCCGTGTGTGTGTGTGTGTGTGTGTGTGTGTGTGTGGGTGTGTGTGTGTGTGTGTGTCTCTCTCTCTCTTTTTCAGATTGTGATTGCACACTGGGGAGGGAAGCCATTCAGCTGTGCTCCACTCAACATCGAGCAGTGGCTTTGGTGTCTGTTTGTGGGAGTTGGAGAGCTGCTGTGGGGTCAGGTACGAATCTCTTCAGCTTGTTGAAGCTAAACGTGTTTGATAAGAGGAAGCTGCGGATGTGCAATTTTCCCCTGAGGTGACGCCATTCCACACTAATACTTGCACTCCCTACCGCCGATTGAAATGTAACAAACCTGACATGCAGGTGATCGCGACTGTCCCGACGGAGCGGTTACCGTGCCTGAAGGAAGCGGGTCTCGGTCTGGAGCCCGGGGAGGAGGAAGGGGAGGAGCTTGCAGAGGATGAAGAGGAGATTGACTGTGCTGAGAGAGAGCTTCGTCGTGGACAGATCCTCTGGTTCCGAGGCCTCAACCGCATACAGACTCAGGTAAAGTATGCTTGACGAGACTGGAACCCAAAACTCAAGATTTGGTGCTTCTCTGTTGTTTGTTCTCGATGTGCTGTGAGTTTTTGCCTCTAATATGTGTTTCTCTTCAACACAGCCGACAGTATGTTCTCCTCTGGCTTTCATTATGATTCTCTCGCAACTTAAAAGTGGTGGTTTGTAAGATGCACTGCAACATGACAAAGGCCTGTGTGTGTGAGCATGTGTGTGTCCAACAAAAGTATGAATGCTCTGTACTTAAGTAGAAGTAAAGCTACTGTACTTGTGTAAAAATAAAATGGTAAAAAATAGAAATATTAATTCAACAGTGAAAGAAAAAAGTACAGATTGAAATACACTTAAGTGCAAAAGTAAAAAGTACAAAGACATACACAAAGAAAATAACTTAAAGAAACGATATATTTCTTTTATGTGTGTTTTTTTAAATAAGAAAGAGAATTTTTGAAGGCCAGAAACTGGTAGTTTTTAGGCTGGCACAAGACACAATGCATTTGTCGGAATCATTCTTGTAGCCGACAACATCAAACAACTCTCAATATGGCCGTTGATGTTAAGTCCTCGCTTCTCCGATTCAGTTGCAGTTGTTGTTAATGCTTCCTGGTTCACATTCCTCAAAAGATCCCAAATCTCAGTCAATCAAGATTTCAACAGTAGGCGTTGAATGACTCAAAAGTTGAGTCATGAGTTGAGTTGAAGTCGATTAGCACAGAACAGCCCCACCATATTTCGCGCGATACACCGGTTTCACATAAAGACAGACATATCTCATTATATAATACTAACAATAAATAAAGAAAAATACAAATCACCTTGGCCATGAATGTATTTTTTTCCTGCCTGTTTATCTCTTCGAAGAGCCGATGTTGGGTTCAGTAGCATAGCGTGTTGTAAAATGGCACACAGACAACAGTTGTTGAGCACACATTATTGCACATAGCATTTTGGAACCTAAGATGGCCATCTGATCTTGTATCTTGAAAAACTTCGGGATATTAGTGGGGGCATTCATGGAGTATCACTATAGTTGTACTTTGCGTGTGTGTGTGTGTGTGTGTGTGTGTGTGTGTGTGTG